GACTCACCACTAATATTATAGGTAAAGGAAAAAATGACGATGTTTGTTACTCAATCACGCTGAAACGGCTGAAGGAATCTGGACGAAATTTGGTACGGAGATAGATTATAGCCTGGAAACTATAAATCGCCATTTTGTAGCATCATATTAGATTCAAAATGGCGGTATTCAATTCATTTTATATTATCACGCGAACCAAACGTGTATACAAAATTTCAGCTCAATTGATTAGGGATATTTGGTTCAAAATTGAGTTTCAAGATTTGTCCCACACAAACATACTAACAAACGGGTCAAGTTAAATAAAGTCTTGTAATGACTGAAGCAAGTGGATGCGTTTTGCCGATGTTCAACTTGTTTGTACAGGGTCCGGCAATGAAGTATGGTGTTTTTGCAACGACTATTACATGCAGCACTGTCGAGCCAATGTTTTCACGATGATTGATATCTACTCGTTCCGCGATGCCATTTTAGTAGCCATGGAGCCGTGGTCTGTGGCACATCGCGTGTTTATTTACAACACTTTTATTGAAACTGGTCGTTCTGTTGTGCTCACACAGCGACGATTTCGAAACCATTTTAACGTTGGTCGGCATGGTCGCGTTCCAAGACGCGATACCATTTTGAAGTGGGTGAATAAATTTCAAACAACCGGATCGTTAAGACCTGGTACTGCAAGGGGAAGAGATCGAACAGTGCGAACTCCGGAAAACATTGAAAGAGTGCAACAAGCGGTGGATACTAGCCCTCACCGTTCAGCGGTACGTCACGCTCGCGCTCTTAGAATGTCAGATGGTTCAGTTCGCAGAATCTTGCATTTGGACCTCCATTACCATCCGTATAAAATTATGGTTGTGCAGAAGCTGCTCCAAAATGACTTTGTGAGACGACACAGGTTCGCAGAAAGGATGCTGGAATTGCTACACGGCAACATCGTTTTGTTCATGAGTGACGAGGCCCATTTTCATTTATCGGGCATGGTAAACAAACAAAACTTCCGATGCTGGGCACACAAAACCCACGAGAACTGCATGAACAACCTCTGCACTCTGAGAGGGTAACTGTTTGGTGTGCCGTATCTCGAAATTGCATAATTGGCCCGTATTTTTTTCGTGAAAACGGACGAACAGTTTCAGTGAACTCAGATCGGTATTGCGCCATGTTGCGTGATTATTTTCTGCCCGAACTAAGAAGACGACGCATTGACATCAAGACAGTTTGGTTCCAACAAGATGGGGCGACTTGCCATACATCAAGATCTGCAATGGGCTTTTTAAGGGAACATTTTTCTGGGCGCCTCATTTTGTTGCATGGAAATGTGGAATGGCCACCTCGGTCACCAGACCTTTCATGTTGTGACTACTTTTTATGGGGCTATTTAAAATCCAAAGTTTACATAGACAAACCGCAAACTCTTGAGGCTCTTTCGGAACTCATAACGCGCGAAATTGAAAGGATTCCTCGTGCCATGCTAGAAAGAAGTATGGATGATTTTGCAATCCGTCTCCAAGAATGCATCGACAAGAATGGACGCCACCTAACTGATGTAATTTTTCGCACCTGACTATGTTATGTTACTTAAATGGCATCATTCCACTAATGTATTAAAATAATAAATTTTGATGTATGTTTAAAAATGAAAGTTTGTAATTTTTTTCAAAAACACCATACTTCATTGCCGGACCCTGTACATTGCAATTTCTTTCTGTCTCGTGTGTGGCAACGCGGGCAGTAACCGTAATATCACAGCCTACTAAGATCGCGACCACCGCCTCACGCCTTTTCAGTGAAAGTGCGTCATGGCCAACTATAATGCGTCTGATGCCACAGCGCCAGCGGCACAGGCGGCAAAGCGGCAAGCGACAGCAACCTGGCCACATTTTCGTCGCCAATGTATGCAACAAGAAACAGTGAATGTGATCTGGTGCAGAGCGACGTCCGTTTAGGTCACTCTCGATTATTCATTGAAGAACGCGTAGCAGACGAAGCGACCTCAAAACTTTTTCCTTTTGCTTTAGTGCTTTCTACATGAATCTTGAGTACGACTTTTTACTTCCCACTCTAACTGGCTACGCAGTATTGTAATCGCGAAAATTGTCACATGGGCTTTGGATTGGATGTTACGTGTCATGCCATCACAAAAATCCATGTCACTCATTTCCGCCGGTTTGTTGGTCTGTCGGTCTTTCGGCATGTCGGTCCGATAATCCTTGACCCCTCTATAACTTCGCCTAAAATATTAATATCAATCAAGCTTCGTTTTTGGTCGTTTCAGAGGCTCCTGATCATTTTCAGGAAAATCTGTGTAGGGGTGAAAAGTTAGGGGTTGTAAGGTGTGGGGGCGGCAATATCTCAATTTTTTGATGTTACCATATTATCCACATGATAGATTTTCCCGTAATTTGCCTTTAAAATTCAGAATGTTTTAGAAATATTTTGGATATGCCTGCTGCTTCTGCTTTCTGTGTTCACCGGCCTGCATACCGATGAGGTTGACTGTTCTCCCCATACTGGGCAACGTTGCTAGATGGACGATGCTTTCGGTAGGGTAGAGAAATAATGTCTATGAACTAATTGTATGTGCGTGTTGAACTGACTTGATCCGTTTAATTTCTCTGCTGTACACGTTCGTAACTAACTTGTACTATGCTTGATCTTTTATGAACTGATGACGGCGTTGCATGGAAAGTGCAGAGTCCACCTACTTGACACATTTTTTTGTGTTGCAGTACAAAAAACCAGGCATATCGCTGAAGGCTCCTATTTATGCATGTCTTTCTAAGGTACTTTTAAACGTTGTCACAAACAATTTTTTCTTCTCAACTCGGCGAATTGTAAGATCGTCATGCATAAATTTCACGTGACTGTTGAACCATCTATACAGGGTATTTAGATTACATTAGATTAGATTACAGTTATGGGTTGGCATACGAGCTTGACGTCCTTACATATCTTATTATACACATAATAAAAGCCTTGACTCAGCTTTGTATATAGCACTCCGCTTTTGAATTATTGATCCTAAACATCTGGAATCTGTCGAAATACTACAGTACAAAATGCCGTCTATTACCAGAATCCACCACTGCGAGAGTGAATATCAGCTACCTGTTGAAACTCTAAAGCATCTCAGTTCGCGTTTGATAGCCTAGTTGCCGCTGTGACTGCTAGAGGTTGACGACTCTCCGAGAGACCAAGTCTAGACCGTGCTGATGATTACTGATAAGCATGTAACAGCTGTACACGGTTGGTCCTCTGTTAATAGGATGGACAAAAGCAGTACTATTTAATTGGGACTTGCTTTCATCGAGTTTTCTTAGTCCTGGAAGAACCGGCGTGTTATATCTCAGGCTAAGCTCAAAAGCCTGATATGCCTATTTAGACAACAAAATCTAATGAGGGATTCCATTCTATCATGAACACATTGGTCCGCCTCTGGTTAGTCATTCCACAATTTTAGGTGCAGTCTTTCATGGACTTCTCGATGCTTATTCAAACGGCGAAAATGCTAAGCTTACTAGTCCATTGGGCGTAACTTCTTGGGTTGGATTATTCGTCTCCTCATTCCCTTGGTTCCCTTTATACCCTGCAGTCCAGGGCAATGTTACTTTTTTGTGGGTTCTCAGCATTTGGAGTTGCTTGGTTGTTTATCAGATGATCGACTGATTTGATTTTTTGCAGACCCAGACAGAAAATGTACATCTTCTCCAGATATCCTTCCCAACCTAAACACTTAGAAAATAAAATGATAATAATAAATTATCTTTATTCGGTTCTTTTACAAAGTATGTCTAAGATAGTACAATAAGCATTGGTAAGTCACTAAAATTTTGACAACCGGATCGGCGGAATGTTACCACGACGGTATTTTTTATTTAATAATATAGATTTATGTTATTTGTAAAAGTAGATAAAGATATCGTTTGTGACCAGTGAATTTCAGAGCTATCAAAGTAGATTGGGTGACAGAGTGGTGACGGAGTTATACACTTCTGAGTAACCAGGACGTTAGAGTATAATTTCGAAATTGACATGGAAGATATATACTTGGCAGCAGTATAAGAGAAGCTCTCTTTGTAGAGAGAGACGTAAAGTGTTGAGAAATAACTAGTAACAACAAATTTGTTGATTCTATTTAAAAGATATTGTGTTTTCATATTCACTAAAATATTATGAACCAAATATAAACTTTGGTATTTTCTGAGATTCTCCAGCTCATTTTATAATTCTCTTTAAACAACATGGCTTATACGATCAAGATTCCATATACCTGAGAAAAAAAAACGGTAACAAGAATTTTTTAGCCGTTTTAACTTGTCTTTATCACTTTTCATTATAGCTGGGCCATGTACATTTGCGCAGTATGAAAGTCTTGACATTATAAGAGCATCACACAACAGCAACTTCAGTTTACTGTTTAATATGTTTCTTTGAGGATATTTCTTTTGAGGTATATGGTTTTAAACATAATTCTTTGATATGGAAATCAAATTTTAATTCATTGTCCAGCCATAACCCTAAATTTTTGCTAACAGTTACAATATTGGTAACGGAATTCTATTAATTGCTAATTGACAAAGATTTCTTGCTATATTACATTTAATTTTTGGACCAAAAAAACATTATTTTAGATATATTATCATTTAGTGTTAAGTTATAAGCTGCTGAGATATTGAAAAGTAAGTCCAGATCGTTGTTAATTAGACTAAAAGAGGGAGCCATATCGTCAATAGCATAGTTATGAATTTTGAATGTTTTGAAAAATCCAAAATGTGTACAGAAAATAGAAGAAGACTGAGAATGGAGCCTTGGGGTCCACCCTTTTATTAGATAAGTCGTTATCAATGGAGACATACAGTAATATCTTTCAGTAAAAATGATTTTATAAGCCGGACGCCAATAACGTTTTAAAAATATAAAAAGACGACCGGGCTTTAGAATCTTATTTTGTTTTGTTGTTTATTTTCGATGACTTTTAAGCGAAACCTTCATCATTCCAGATCGCCATCATTCGCCCGGAAATGCTTGCGACCGAATATCAACACCGTTCCAGCACCACCTCAGCATCTTCAACCTCAAAGTACTCCTGCTCAGCGGTGTCCTCAGAAACCCTGAGTGGCTCGTGCGGCAGCCGCAACAACCGCGTGCGGACAGTACGACTTGTGCGAAGACACGCTGGGAGTGCGAGTGGTACCTTAAGCAGGGCGCACCATCTTCAGCCGCCACTGGGCTTCAGCATCAGGGGCGGACATGAGCATGGTACCGGAGTCTTTGTCAGCCATGTTGAGCCGGGGTCGGAAGCTGATCAGCAGGGACTTAGGGTGAGTAATATACAAGGTTGCAAGTAGCACCTTTCAGCATCAAGGGCTACCATGAGCATGGAACCGGGGTGTTAATCAGCGATGTTAAGCAGATCGGACTCGTATTAGCAGAGACTTAGGGTGATTACTATCATAAGTTATGCCTCGTTTATATAGCCAGTGCTAGGGTTCTTGGTGCAGTATTAGAGGTAGATTGAGGTGTTTGTCAGCCATGATGAACCATAGTCGGAAGCTGATCAGCAGGGACTTGGGGTGAGTACTATACAAGGTTGCAGGTAGCACATTTCAGATTATCAAGAGCTATCATGAGCATGTTAAAGAGGTGTTCGTCAGCCATGCTTAGTCGAGGTCGGAAGCTGATGAGCAGGGTTTTAGAGTAAGTACACTACACAGGGTTGTAAGTAGTACCTTCCAGTATCAAGTGCTATTATGAGCATGTTACCGGAGTGTCTGTCAGTCGTATTCAGCCGGAGTCGTAAGCTGATCAGCAGGGACTTAGGGTGAATACTTCACAGTTCTATACACATCACCAGGGACTATTATGATAAGTACTGCCTTGCTTATACAGCGGGTGCTTGGGTTCTTGGTTCTACATTAGGGCTAGATTGGGGTGTTTATCGTTTATGTTGAACAGAAGTCGGAAGCTGCTCAACAAGGGTTTAGGATCTTTAGGGTGACTATAAACTAGGTAATGGACACTGGTCCGCAATGGTATACCTTAAGTGTTATGCCCATCATAACTCAGTTATTTTTAGAGGCTTGAAGGAGTCATTTGGGCATACGAGAGATTAGGACTTGACGGAGTCCAACATTCTGAAGGAACAATTTGCAGTTATTTCAAAACCCTTATGTTTTTCCGGGATGTACGTAAGAAATTTGGAAATACGAAAGAGAAGAGATTAATACATAGGATCATTCCTATAACTGTGTTCAAAAGAGATTTTTGTGAAAACATGCCATTTACTGTCACCTCTCTCTCTTTGGTATCTCCAAATATATCGATTATATCTTGAAAAAATGAGTTACGATGGGCACAAGGATATATGTTTACATATACATAAATACATCATATCTTCCTGGTACAATCTGCTCCCAAAACAAATCAATAACTTTCTATAGCATTTAAATTTGGGCCATGGTATACAAGGGTGGTCCCAGAAGTACCCGACCCAACGAAGAAAACACAAAATTTTTGTAAAAAATGTATTTATTTTTCTACATAATCTCCTTTGAGCTCTATACACTCTTCCCAGCGATGTTCAATAAGTGTGATACCCCTTTTATAATAAGAACTGTCTTCATCGTTGGAAAATCTTTAACTAATGAGCCATTTTTTCAAGTTTGGAAACAGAGAATAATCCGAGGGGGGCTAAATCTGGTGAATAGGTTGCATGAGGTAGCAATTCAAACTTTATTTCGTCAATTTTTGCCATTGCAATAACGGATTTGTGAGCTGGTGCATTGTCTTGATGAAACAACACTTCTTCCTAACCAAATGCGGCCGATTTTGCTTGATTTCATCGCTCAAACGTTGCAATAAGTTGGCATAATACTCGCTGTTGGTAGTTTTACCTTTTGCAAGATAGTCAATGAAAATTATCCCACCCGCATCCCAAAAAACCGACGCCATAACCTTGCCTATAGATGAAACGGTCTTCACCTTCTTTATAGCCAGTTGTCTCTTTTGTGTCCATTTTTTTGATTGTTCTTTTGTCTCGGGTGTGAAGTGATGGACCCATGTTTCATCCATGGTTATGAACCGACGCAAAAATTCTGCTTTGTTGCTGTGAAACTTCGCTAAACACTCAATTGAAACATATTCATATTTCTGGAGTCGTCACCTCATTTGGTCGACCACTGCGATGTTCGTCTTGGCAGCTCATACGGCCTCGTTTAAACTCTGCAACCCAATATTTTACCTGTTGTAAACGAAGAAGCAGACTCACCCAGAGTAGAATCCAGTTCAGCTTTTATATTGGTTGGGCTGAGGCCTTTGAAATAAAAGTATTGTACCACATAACGATGACCAGTTTTCTCCATTTTCACAAATTCACTGAAAACGTTCAGTACTGATCGCTGCCAAACAAATACTAAACAACGTGGCGTCTTCAAACTTGACACATATGCTTTATAGGTTGCATACTTTCGAATACAATGATATTTTTCAAACAACTAGCGCCATCTCTAGGTCAGGCCGGGTACTTCTGAGACCACCCTCGTATTAGCATTTCCAGCTTGCCCTAGATATTTTTTTAGCTTGAGCAGCATTCACTCTAGCACCTTACATAAATAATGAAAGCTTGAATAAAGGTGAAATATTGTAGCAGCAAAATTAATATTTCCTGTACTGATTTGCATACCGAATACACAAATTTCCGCATTTGTAACACAAGCTGTCAATAAATTTTCGAAATAAAATAATTTATCGCTTAAATGCATGGAATTGAAACATATTCAATTAGTTGTTGTTGGCACAGTAACCTAATCAGTTGCAGTTTAATGCAAGGAGAACACCTTCCGCTAAAGTTATTTATTTAAATTATATAATTTCCTTGAACTACTAGGAAATAACCGGTTGCGTAAATTTGTTACATTTATAAGAATTGGTACTGGTCAGTTTATGTGGAAAGCTTTTTATAACAAACTGCAGTTCCTGAAACGTAAATGAATATTTATGATTATGTAGTTGGCTAATAAGGATGCAGGTCTTCAAGCGCTCTGGAGAAATGAGAAGTTGATCATGCAAAACATGAGGATGTGACTGATCAATGATTAATATTTGCATTTTGATAATGTGCTTTTTGGCACATTTGTTCACTACAACTCTTTCTCAATCTATAGTAGAGAGAATCCTATGCTGCTCGGACCAGATTATTTGAAGGGCTTGAGACAGCAACAAGGTACCTAAGCCTCATTTGTGTAAGACATTTTCATTTAAAAGTCCAAAGTTGTTTTTTCGACTGATAGATGTCGCTATAATTTCTAAAGGGCATTTTTGAACAACTACGATATCCAAGAAATCTATAAGCCACGTAAGTTCCAAGATGGGCGTCAAACGGAATTTAATCGATGGTGAAAACAATATCATGATAGTGACTCTGAGCGGGTACCTCAGGCGAATAAATAAATGTGTTGATAATGAATTATTTTTTGTATTTGCTTCACAATACCACTAGATAATGATTTTAAGCCATCTATTTATCAGAATACAGTGGACCCCCGATAATCCGGCCCCTGTCTAATCCGGCGCCCCTGTAATCCGACATGTCTTTGAATTGTACATACATACGTATTTGACAATCTTCGTTAATGTAGATCACGCAGGTTTGAACAGGTTACAACTTCTATGCGCCACCGCTATCGTGCTCGACGCGTAAGCATTGTTTTACTTAGTTTGAAATTGACTACTTGTGATAGCGGTACGGCCTAGCATGCATTCATTGTTTACTATTTATTCATTGTGTATTAAGTACCTATATTACCTATTAATGTCATCACAAACTCAGAAGCGAAAGCACAAAACATTGACAATTAAAGAAAAATGTGATATTTTAGACCGCTTAAATCGCAATGAAACTTTCAGTAGTTTAGCAAGTGAATACGGCGTATGCCGATCTACAATTTATGATATTAAAAGAAACCAAGAAGTTCGTGTCAACTACTGACTGCGGACCAGGCAAGAGACAGACACTCAAAAAAGCTGAACATCCAGAAGTGGAAGAAGCTTTGTACATGTGGTTTCTTCAGGAAAGAAATAGGCATGCACCAATTTCAGGACCCATGTTGGCCATGAAAGCTAAGTTTTTGTATAGGGAAATAAAAAAAGATGATTTTGCGGCCAGCAAAGGATGGCTAGAACGTTTTAAAAGTCGTCATGGCATACGTTTAATGACTATTTCAGGAGAGAAACTTTCTAACGATGCCACCTGTATTAAGCCCTTTAAATTAAGATTTTTGCAAAAGGTGAACGATTTAAATCTTGACCCGTCACAGCTGTACAATGCAGACGAATCAGGGCTTTTTTGGCGTGTGATGCCTAACAAAACTTTCGTTTCTTGTAACGAAAAATCCGTACCTGGACGAAAAGTAAGTAAAGAGCGTGTAACCATACTACCATGTGCTAAGGCTGCGGGCACACACGCGCTTAAGATGATGGTCATTGGGAAATCTAATAAACCACGGGCATTCAAAAACATTGATTTACCTTACTATTACGGACAAAAAGTGCATGGATGACAAAATACCTTTGCAAAAAGTGGTTTGATGAATGATTCGTACCTGAAGTTAGAAAATGTTTAAAAGATCATAATTTTCCTCAAAAAGCGTTGTTGCTTCTTGATAACGCTCCCGGTCATCCGTCTGATGAAGAACTAACAACTGAGGATAAATGCATCACTGCGATGTTTCTTCCGCCCACTTGCACTGCACTGATTCAACCAATGGACCAGAATATCATTCAGTTTGTCAAGCAAGACTATAAGAAAAACCTACTTCTGAGAGCCGTATCAAAAGACCAACCAATAGAAAAAACTTTAAAAGAATTTAATATGAAAGACTTGGTTTTTGCTCTTTGTCAGTCGTGGAATGCGTTACCGTCATCAATTATTAAATCGTCTTGGAAAAAGTTATGGCCAGATATAGTCACCACTCCTAGCAACGTTCCACAAATCAGTGTAACTTCAGAAGTTATAGAACAAGTCGCTACAGAAACACAGATAAGTCCAGAAGATTTGGAAATCTGGTGCCGTGGAATGGATAAAGAGGAAAATGTTTTTCATGTAATGTCTGACGAAGAGATTATAAAAGAGGTTTCAAATTATACAACAAACAATCAGGGAAATATCGACGACGTGATTGCAACTGCTCCACAAGTCACAACATAAGACGCAATTAACGCCTTTGAGCTAGGTTTACAAAGGGCTAAAGAGAATGGCACATCCTACAACGAACTTTTACTTTTGAGAAGACTGAGGGACAAAGCTCTTATCTCGCGTTATAACAACCAAACAAACAAAAAAATTGATGAATATTTCCAAGCTTCATAATTTGATAAATTCATTAATGATTTTGATTAATAATTCTTGATTATTTTGGTACATATGTATGTGCATTTATGCTTAATTTTATAATAAAACGTAAGCTCTCTATTGTTATTTAATTTACTAAATTCGACATACATAAACTATGTATGATTTGTACTTCAAAGTACATACATATACATAACATATATAATCTTACCATTGGATATGTAATTTGTCGGATTACAAGGTACTCTTTTGTAAAAAATTCCGGACTATAGGGGATCTTAGGCAGTGCTCTATAATCCGACAAATTCGATAGTCCGACACTGCCCTGCATAATGTTTGTCGGATTACCGGAGGTCCACTGTATATCATTGAGAATGACCATCGAAGACCATAAATAACTTCAACAGATGGCAATAATTTGTAATTTTTGACGAATGCCCTTATTTACCAAATCAATTTATTTGTGCGTCTTGTGACCTTCTTCAGCCTTTGGGTGCATTCATAACTTTTTCGAAAGAGATAACGCATCTGACACGGTCCTATTGGACAAACTGAACTTAAAAACATCTGTTACAGGCTTTAACGTAGTTAATAATTATTGTGATATTAATAATCATCGTCTTCATTGCTATAAACTACAAAAGGCGAGGTTTAGGTCAAAGCTACCCTTACCCCTCACCCAAAATGAGGAGTTCCTCAAATTTAGTGAAGTGTGCTGTTTTAAGTCTAGCAAGTAGCAGTAGTAGCAGCAGAGGTAGTGGGGAGGCGAGTCATCTACTGGTAAGAGCCAGCGATGAGCTGTACCATCGTTATATTTCATCCATGTGAGTGACATAGACAACCCACAACACAACATCCATGGGAGGTATTAACTTTCACAGCGAAGATTTAAGCCAGCGAGCCCCGGGTTGAAAGCTCGACGTGCTAACCACTGAGCTACCGAGGCTCCCTCTATGAACGCTCAGATCATATGTCTTTACTTCAAATTATCCTAGGAGTACAGCTTCTTTTCAATAAGGCACTAAGTCACAGTATTCTCATAAATGAAGTTTCATTGACATCAACTGGCTAAGTGTTAAAGACTAAAATAATGGTCAACAAGAAACCTATACAGGGTGTAAACATTATGATAGTCATTATTTACATGAGTGATAGAGGGGTTTAAAAGAAGCAAAAAGTTTCAAATAACATGGGGGTCATAACGGCTTTTTTTTAGAGAAAAGCGACTTTAAAGTAAAACAAAATCTGACAACGCCGCAATGCCAGACGCAAATTTCGACGGAACGCAGTGTAAATATAGATGTAGTTTGTTATTTTTGGCTCTTAGGTATTATTTTATTATTTGATAATGTACTCGTAAAATCCAAACAATTAAAAAAAACGGACTTACCACTAACTGTCTCAGCGCTTCACCTGGTGTGTGAAAGTTTATTGAACGTATTAAAAAAATCCACTTATAAATAGGCAACATAATTTTGATACATACATTGTTTTTCTTGCACTGCACTTTTTTGTATTTAAAGCAGGTGTTCAAAATGTCGTCCCCCACTTTCCACACAAGCTTCATTACGACGAACCCAGTTTCTTCTTACTCTAGGTCCTCGAAGTTGTCTATTTATTATTTCAGCCGCATTAAACATTTTTTCGCAAAGTTGTGCTTCAGTTGTTATTGGACCAGCCCCTTAAACCACCCCTTTAAGTTATCCCCAATACCAGAAATCCATCGGATTGAGGTCAGGAGATCTTGCTGGCCATTTTCGAGGATCAGCAGTATTTCGACTGATCCAGCGATTTGTATAATGTTCATTCAAATACTGAATGACCCCTCTAAAAATGAGTGGTGGTGCCCCGTCATGAAGAAACCACAAATTCTGTCTCCGTTGTAATGGCATGTTGTCTAAGCTCTGTTCCAAAAGTTCTGGTAGGTTATTGGCTACAAAGCTAAGGTATCCTTCTCCTGACAACTTTGGGGGTAACTCGAAAGGGCCAATTACCTGATCATCAAGAGTCCCCGCCCAAATATTTATTTTGAAACGTTGTTGGAAATGACTTTCACGAATGGTATGAAGATTTTCTTGGGCCCACGTATGAGTATTATGGAAATTTAATATCCCGTCTCGGGTAAAAGTACATTCGTCCGTCGCTAGAATGTTTTTAAAAAAATCCGGATTTTCAATGTTTTCGTGCAAAAACCACTGACAGAATGTTAGTATGCGAGGATAGTCTTCTGGTAACAAGGCCTGCATTCGTTGTACATGGTAGGGATGAAGTAAATTTTCTATGGACTATGCTATGCGATAGTCCTACGCGGAGGCCTAATTCCCGAGTGCTGATGTCTGCATTGATTTCCACGATAATTAAAATTTGTTCCTCCTGCTCTACAGTAACCTGTCTTTCACGAGTGCGAATATTAGTGAGATGAACACTTCCTGTATCTCGAAGTCTTTGGTACACTTGCACTAATGTCCTTCTGTCTGGGTGTACCCGTTGGCGAAATCTGTCGCGATAAATTTGTGCTGCAAGATTTGAATTTTGACGAGCTTCACCGTAAACTAACAACATGTCGGCGAACTCTTGATTCGAGGACATTGTAAATAAACACGACGACGTACGCGAACAAAAACAAAACGACACGCCCGGTGCTATGCAAAACGATAACTAACCACTGTTACCGTTTGCGATCGACTGCCGGTTCGATAAGAGTGATCAAAGACCGACGCGCTGTTGTTATGTGTGTTTTAAATATTTAATTTAATGAAACTTACTTACTTACTGACTACAAATTTTGGCTTAACTTAGAAAAACTTAATGGCATTTATTTGTTAATTACACAACTTGAAAATGCTTTAGATTAGATTATAAAAATTAGTAAGATTGTGGTCGATATAAAGCACTTAAAGTTGTAAACTATAAAGCCATTCAGACAAAAATCTATTGACTTTTGGACCATAGGTCATATGAACCTTTTGACTTGTTTTGACCCCCCTATTACCCATTTCAATACTGACTACCATAACGTTTACACCCTGTATACTTGTTCAGAAAATTCATTCCTCGTCATAATATGGTACACCTGAACAGAATTATTAGATTTCCAGAAATATTAACTATGCCTCAAGACAAGACTTCTATGTTCACAAGGTCTTTAACATTTAATGCAATCTCATAAAATTCTCGACCAAGAAATATATACTAAATTTGAAGTTGAATCCGCTGCATATATAATTGTAATAGTTTCTAGTGTTGAACTTTCACATTGCTCTATTTTAACATTTTTGGTGTATATGTGTACAGGGTGACTTTGAAGTTGAGTCATTAGTTTTCAGATAATGATTGTAGAAGGAAGATAAACCAAAATATGTGTGTAAAAATAAAAAAAAATTAAAAAAAAAATGTTACCTTGTTTTATAAAGTATCCTCCCGACAAGTATTTCAGTTCGGACCTATATTTGATCGTACGGTCTTGGAGCACCGGCATGCCATCCCCTGTGAGGTCTTAAGTCACCTGATTTACGAGCCCTTTGTACTACATCAACAAAGGCACGAGGGGTTGGTTGCACTCGATTGGGAAACCGATCCGCATAAATCCGTGATGCCGCGGCAGCATTTTGTAAAGACCCCCCCTCCGTAAATAAGAATCATGTTCACAAGTTCAGCATTGTGCCATTTTTATTTCGTTTGAGCCACGCAACAAACACCACTATTCACTCACGCGTTACCGACTGACACATTGACTGAATGCAACTGAATAAAATTGTAGTAAAAACATCGTGATAAGCGTTTCAAATTCTTTCGCTTTTTTGTTTCCGATGCGATGAACCGATAAGGCGGATTATATCCATTGTTGCCAAACACGAGCACATAATATTATTATTGAGACAGGGCGGTACTCAAACTTCTAAAGGGCTATAACTTTGTTACTTTAATTTTACCACAAAAATTTTAAAGGAAAAAAACATTTCTTTTGATCAGATCTACTCAATTACGTGACGTTAAAATAAATGACTCAACTTCGAAGTCACCCTGTATAAATGTCACACAAGAGTATAAGTGGAAGAATAGCCGAAGCCCATTCATAATGTCTCGTTTATTAGTATAAATATTATTTACGAACATTTTTTCGATTCTGTTGTCGCCTAATCAGTACCTCAAAATGTAAACCGACTTTAGCCTTTTTGACACGCTCATTACGGGCCACTCTGTATATGAATCCAAACGCACTCGTATATTGAAATACTCCGTATTCCTACTCAATTGAGCGTGCTACTTTAATTAAGCAACCAATGATAGATGAAAATTATCCTTAAGAAAATTACATGTTATAACAGATAATCGTTCTTTGCAGGTCGGAGACCAAATAATAAGGATAAACGGCTTCACAATCGAGGATGCTGTGCACAAAGAAGTGTTGCAGCTGATCTCCAATCACACGCATCTAACGCTGAAAGTGAGAGGTACGAATCAATATTATAATTATTTTGTTGTTGTTTTTCTCTAATTAAAAATGAAGTAAGCGTTATTGCAAGACCGCAGGCTGGATATCGACAGTTTTCTCTTTCTACGATCTTTCTATATCTAGAACCAATTAGATCGATGAATGGGTGTTGAGATGATTACATTCAGAGAGGCCGATTTTATGAATGGGAATTATTATTTCTTTGAGAAGGGATTGGAATAATATGTTTGATGTGTCTGATTTTAAGATATAAAGCTACTCGTACATGTTCTCAATATCCGAATACACGACATACTAAGAGCTGGAATGATGTTACATCCTCTTGCTAACATTTAAAATTAACATGAACTAGTATAAACTGTTTGGCTTTCTTACTGTTATTATCACAGTATAGGGCCAGTTGAACAACTCTGGCTAATATTCGCCAGACGAGTGGATTGAACGCGCACGCAGAGCAGCACAGGTTCCAGTACAGAGAGCATAAATAGGTTTCTTCGCTCGCCCTGTGAAAGTTTTCAAGTTTTTCAATAGAAAACCCGATATAAAAACATGGAGATGGAGAGACTCTGGAGGTCAAAGTAATGATCCCCCAGCGTCCCCGATGATGAATGGACCCAGCCAGAAGGAGAGAACAGAAATTACCAAGAAATCAAAGGAATTGATGACACCAGCTGTAGCAGACGAAAAGGATGGAACCATCCAGCGCCAGACCCTGATCATCGAAAGCCAGGCACAGCAAATAAAGGAGCTGACTGAGACCATGAAATCAAAGGAATTGGTGACACCAGCTGTAGCAGACGAAAAGGACAGAACCATCCAGCGCCAGACCCTAATCATCGAAAGCCAGGCCCAGCAAATAAAGGAGCTGACTGAGACAGTTAGGGATCAAAACAGTAAAATAGACTGCCTGACCACCCAGGTAACACAGTTAAACAATAATGCAAATTTTAATTCTAAATCTGACAAGGCTGTCAATTTAAAAAGACCTAATGAAAATTTAACTGACGTGACATCGACCGACGATGAAATACAGAATGACGGATTCATCCAGGCCAAGTCTAGGAAAAGACGCATCGACAAAACGAACAAAACCGACAAGACGGATGATTTCCCACAGCAAAATCAAAATTCAAGTTGACAGTCCTCTCAAAACCTTCTGTTTCATTAAACGTATCAACTTCTTCTGCCACTTGTCCTATGACGGTCGATGCAGCGATCACATCTTCTCAATCTTTGGCCACTGCATCGACTGACTGTGCATTATCTCAACAATGTCACGTTGCTGGTGAGTTGACCAGCACAGCACTCCGCCAGGTGCGAATCACGCCCATTGTTTTGCGTGATGCGACCAAGTGGCGACATCTAAACTGCACCCTTACAAGCTTAGGCATTAAGATAGAACGCGCAGTTGCCGTTGATGCGGAAATCAGGATTTTTCCGAAAACTGAGGATGACTACCAAAAAATCGTTCGCCTGTTCAGGGAGAAGGACATGCCCCATCATACGTTCCCTCTTCCTTCAGAACGAAAAATTTTTTCGGAACAGGAGATCAAAGGGGAATTAGAGCAGAGGGGATATACTCCTCTCTACATTATCCGACTCAAACGCAGTGGCGGCGCACCCATGCCTTTGGTGGTCGTGATACTGCCCAAGATTGAAAAGTCCCGCTGTCAAAGGTATGGTCATGCGCAGTCTTACTGCACAGCACTTCCCAAATGCTTAAAATGTGCTTCCGACCACATGACACATTTATGCCCCCTCACAGGACAAGAGAAGCGAAAGTGTGCTAACTGTGGAGGGGCGTATCCCGCTAACAGTCCCACTTGCAGATTCACCCCCAGGCGAAATCTGGAAGTCATAGCGCAAGCAAGTCATACGCGGAAGCAGCCGTCTCAACATCGTCGGCTGCCCCCTCTGTTCAACCCACTTTGAACACGCAGAATGTGGACCTAGCAACTGCGCTTAGGTCCCTTCAACAAATAATAAGTCCCCTGATTAGCGCCACTCAGGCATTGCAGGCGATCTTTCCGCAGTCATTGAATGGCTAAGTACAATAGACAACCTGCATTTATCATCTGTCAGGTATCTTGGAGTCATCATTGACAAGGGATTGACCTGGCAGAAACATACTGATATTTTGAAAACAAAATTCCAAATAACCTTTCGGCAGCTTTATCCTCTGTTGCGCAGAAATTCAAAATTAAGTTTGATCAACAAGATTCGGTTGTATAAAATGGTCAAAGACCCAAAATTACCTACGCATGCGAGGCTTGGTGTTTTCTTGCCAAGACGCACATGCAGAGACTGCAAGTCCTGCAAAACAGAACGCTACGCACAATTACTAACGCCCCTTGGTACGTGTCAAATGAGACTATTTACAGAGATCTTGATATCCTATATTTAAGGGATTACGTAAAACAACAGGCGCAGTGGCGTTATAATCAAGCGGAATCGCACAGCAACCCTCTGTTGCGTGATTCAGTAGACTACACAAAATAATTCGAGTAGTCAAAGCAATAATGCTTAAGCTATTTCAAATGATTTACTTCTTTTCTTTGCTCTATTTCTTCCTTCCTTTCTTTCCTTCTTTCCCTTTTCGCCTTAAACATGTTTGGTATCTGGGTAGCCAGACCTGACAGACTAACAGACCGACGAGACTTTTAACTAAGAGCAAAGGTCCACCGGACCGCTCTGACGAATAATGACGAATAGTAGCTTTCTTCGTTTTTATCATTTCCGTACTAGAACTATCAGGAGCATGCGCAGAAGAAACCGACGTGTTCGGGTTTCTACTGGATTACTATCGAACCGTTTTACAACTGAAATTGGTGTTCGTGTTATATTCTGGTTCAGTTCTAGGATGGTTCGAGAATCGTTCAAGCAGTTCTTGCTTTACTACCGGGACCATATTTGAACTGATTTTTCACGTACGTATTCCTTCTGCCAATGTTAGTAAAATTATTTGACGTGTTTTGCTTCAAATGCTGTTTACTTTTTTGCAGTTTGAGGAGTGTTTTTTATTTAAAATTAAATGAAAAGTGGACAAATGGATCCAATGCAGATCATTTTGGATTCTGATTCTTCATCATCATCGACGTCTGACATGATGAACTTGAAGCAGTTACACTCAGCGTACAAAACTTTTGTGACAACTTTATAAGAAAAAAGTGTGATTATAGTTACTGACAAATGTTCTCTTCGCACAGTTATCTTCTTTGTTCCGTAGTCCTGGGTTCAGGATGTTCGGATTTTGGCAAAATTCTGATAGTTCACGGACTGTTCATAACCGCTTGAGAGATCTTCCCCTTTACGCATTTAGTCTTGCGTTGTGTCAGAACCGTTCTGTGACAGTACAGAATATTGAACTCGAAAAAAGCTAATGTAACCCAAGCTATCGACGCACTCGCACAGCGGTACAGGGTCGGACTGTGTTTTCAGGGCTTTAAAAAACAAGTTCAGCGGAGAAGCTCGAGTTCTAATACAATTTTGACACAAAAGCACTGCTATGTTAATGACAGAACTCCCTCAATGCTTTCACCAACAAAGGCACAGGAACAATTAAAAAAAAATTGAGAATTTCAACAAACTTAATATTTTGTATGTGCTCGGGGCTGCTGATTATTCTTTGACGTAGTCCAAAAGTTCATAGGGGTCAACTGCCTAGAAAATGCAAAAGTTTGTTATTTGATGATGTTATAACTTCTGTGCAAACGTAAAATTCATATGTCGCAAACCACGCTTAGAATTTCTGTGTAGCTAAAATCTCTAAGTTTGCAAAATGTGATTATCTTAACATTTATGGGAAGAGTGTACAAATAGATATCAGTGTGTGGAGAGAACTAAAGCGACCTACTTGATTCAAATTTCTTACAATCAATCCTCAGGTAATTCACAAAAATGTATGAAATTTCGCCATTTCGCAAAATTGTGTGGCTATAAACAAATTAATAATTAACAAAAAAATTTTATATTTAACATTGAGGCAGTTTAGGCCCAATGACGACATGATTACATAGTTGTCAGATCTCAATATCCTCTTCTTATTGATGCATTCCTACTCATGCATTCTTCAAATTGTTTTACTCCCGCGAGTCGATCCTTTCACTAAATCATTCCCCTATTTCCAATAAACAATTTCTATCAGACATCCATACAAGTTAATATCATGAAGTTGCCTTGATATGAGTTCTGGTCGGGTCTGGTATGCAGAGTTTCAAATTCCACACTCACCATTGGGATTTGGGAAACAGTAAGAGATACGAGGTCGCTTGATGAAGGCAAAGTTGCGAATTTAGGTAAATAACAAAATGCCGCTCAGAAAGTTTCGAAATTCAAAGTATTTCCCAAGAGAGAGACGGAAAAAACGAATGTTCCCAAATTCGTATTAATTTTTTCCCGAGTTCATTTGTAGTGAGATTTATTATTGAATTGCACACTAGCATTTGCACTTTGACATGATTAGAATTTCAATATGACGTTTCGTCTCTTGTCCTCCACCATCCATATTTTTTCATAAGGACGCCATATTGAATTTTTGCACATGTGAGTAGAGTTTCTAATTCTGATTCCAAAAATGAATAACATGTCAATACTCCTTGATTATTTCAAAAAAATAAACATAATTTTATAAATCAGTAGGTCTCATTTTTATTTTTTCCTGATTTTCTTTGACATTTCGACTTCCATCACCAACTTTGTTTTTTCACACAGACGCTGTATTTGAGTTTTATACATTTAAATGTATTATTCAGTACTACATTTTTGCTTTAGTTGGCCATGAATTTGTTGATGGAACGAAAATTATAAGTAAATAAAAGGGCATGGTGAAACCTGAATTCAAAATGAAAATTTTATTGATGGTAATAACAATAATAATAAATTAGTAGATGTAACTTATATAATATTTCTAGAACGTTCCGTTATTTTGTAGGCAAAGCCTTATGCTTCTCAGTACGCTTTTTACTGCTCGGTCTATTTCCCTTTTTTTCGGCCTTTCAA